TGAAAGGATAATCACAACATACAACACCATAGCACAGCTAAAAAGAGAAACAAGGAATCTTTCTGACAGAAATGGTTGCTGCGTATGAAAGTGATTTTTTTAATCCTGTGCCTTCACTACCTGAAATGTCCAACTGAACTTCGGAATAACGTTTAAAACCAGCAATACCTGGACTTCCCAGGGATGTGATGGTTCACTGCTGGAAATCTGGATACGTGTATCAACATTTAGAAGGGAGGAGATTTTGCCACATTTAGGTATACAAATGCCATCCATTTGTGAAGAAACCAGGAAAATTTCGGAGGGAAACTAAAATTGCCCCCCAAATAAACATTTTCAAATTCTAATAATTTGGGTGGATTGAACCCAAACATCAGCAATCCAAACAAATCCTATTCTGTCTTTTAATTTGTCTCTTAGATGTTGAATTGTAATATCTATTCACTTTTGGATTTCAAGAAATTCTTACATCTCTGTTTAATATTCCATCACCACCTGGACTTGGTCAGCAGTGATAAACACTTAAATTTTCTCCTCATCATTCAGGATGTACAAATTTGTGTACAAAGCCAGGACCATGCTTTGAATGAGATGTATGATACCAAAACAGCATGCTCCCCCCCCCCCCCCCACCCATTAAAAACAAAAAGGTGAATAGCCCCTTTGTTTACCTCATGCATTTGGGTGTAGGTTGGTTGGCTGGTTTGATTATTTGTCTGTGCCTTTCCAAGCCTCTGGGAAAAGCCCTGGGGAAACTGTGCTACTCATATATTCCGAACAATAGCTTTTTCCAAGTTGTGCCTCCCCCACTCATGCCCAGCAGGTCTTCTAAGATGGAAATAATGAACATTTACGCCAGTCAAAGGTGCTTTGAGGACAGGAGGAGCATGTTATCACTGTTCCTTTTAGGGATTTTGTACTACAAGGATTTCTGAATAGGATTCTCTGCCACTAAATGGTGGAGGAAAGGTGTGGACTCTATTCCCCATGTGGAATATCATGGGGCAGCTCAAACAGCATTCTTTTAACACTCTTAGGGTGCGTTCAGATGGCGCTTTAGATCCAGGTGCCTCACGGATTTAAATGTAATGTCCAGACATCAACATCTGGGAAACGTCCGTCTTCCGTGAGCATCCCGTTTTGCCGCACCTCAGAGCCATACTAAAAAGATACCACTTTAAATCTGGAGTTTTTGGTTCCAACGGGCCACTCGCGGACTTTCCCCCGTCTGATCGTTCCAGTGCGCAATTTAAAATGACGCCCGTTCGGGATGGTCTGATGTCATTTTAAAAAAAACCTTGATGCTGCGCATGCACGGATAAACAAGGCTGTGATATCATGCCTATGCGCATACGCAAAAAGGTTTTATTAAAAAAAAAAAACAGTGCATGCCTCCTTCCATGGACAATCCTTCCTAGACAATCCACAGTGGAAGCAGCGCACGGTAAGGCGATTCCCCTGGGGGAGGTCTGGTCGTGCGAGGATGGATTAAAAAGATCGGGATCAAATTTGAGCCAGCATAATGGTGGGATTAGCTGTCCGTCTGAACGCACCCTTATATACAGGAATAATAGCCAGTATTCCAAGGAGGAGAAACTATGGCTGTGGTCACACACACTGAATAATCCACTTTCAATGCACTTTCGAATTAAATTTTGCCAGTTCACACAGTAAAAATCCAGTTGGAAAGTGCACTGAAAGTCAATCCAAAACAATCCAGTGGAGCCTGAGCAGTGGGTGTTGCCTTCTGACACACTTCCAGTGATGTCAAGGGGTGTGGTATATGCAAATGAGTTATGCTAATGAGTTATGCTAATGAGCTCCTGCACCTCTTTTTCTGCGAAAGGACCCCTGGATGTAACACAATGCAAGGGGACTCCTTTTGTTTCCCCCAAAGAGGGACTCACTCAAGGGCTGGCAGAGTGTGCCTTTTCTCTCTAGAGGATACGTGGAGCGTTTCCAAGACAGACTAGTTTGGGAATGGGACGAGGCAGAGGCATTTCACAGATGGTGTTTTTGAAAACATGCACCGCTGCTAAGCATGCAACCCCCTATTATCCAAAGCAGCTTGAAAGGGAGGAAGCATATAAAATCTGTATAGCATACAAAGGGGCAGGATCTTTCCTGGGCACATGGGGAAAGGAAACAGGTCAAATTTTACAATACAAATCAATGGATTTACACTGGTTTAATTGTCATTGCTTTCTCCAAAATAATCTTTTGATGAGGTGCTGAGAATTCTGTGGTAGACACCCCTGGCTCCCCTCAAAGAACTACAGTCGCCAGGTTTCCTAGAAAGAGGAAATGTTTATTAAATCATTGTTAGTTTGTTCTATAGATATGCCCTGGATTGAATAAGATGAAAGGTTTTACACTAAAAATCCTCCTTCCTCCATAATGGTAGAGAGAAGAGTCTCTTGGTACTTTTGGAGAGGTTTCAATAGAAACCATAATTTCTTTCCTTTTTAAATAACTATTTTCTTGATCCCCCCCCCCCAATGCTTTTCTTTATATGTATTATTTTGTTGTATCCTGAAACTTGAAAATCTTTCCCTGCATAGAAAGTTAAGAGATCTTCAGAGCAGGGAAAGTGCTTTGACTTCCTATCCCTGGTGGTACTCATGGAGTATAGGTATATTACCATCTGGCAGTCCCCTTGCAAGCTCACTGTCAAGGGTTTTCATAAGGGCTCGTGGCCTCTGGGGACTACGCAGTTACAGACTTTCCAATGGCCAAAGGGGATCTGAATTGACCACCGGCATGATCTATGCAGAGTTTGATCACAGTCAAGCTGATTAAAAAGACAGGAATGAAAGAAGGCTTGTGGAAATTCTGGGCACAAAGGCTGCAGGAATCAAAATAAGAACCAGGGATGGGCAGATTAGGTTGGGAAGTGGCAATAGCTCAGTGGAGGAACTTCTGCTTTGCATGCAGAAGGTCTGAGGTTCAATCCCCTGGAGAACCAGTGGCAACCAGGAACATGCAGGACCAAGACCAAGTGGCCCTGCTAGGACAATTCAACTTCCACTTGGCCTGCCACACTGATCACAGTTATCCATAATTAGCAACAGACCTTCATGACTACATGAATATCAAAAGCAGAGAGGCCTATTTCCTAACCTGTCGTTTTCTAAGCAGCCGTGCAAGAGCCTACTTAGAACAAATATGAGTGAATTCAAGCTAGTAAAAGTTCTGAAACTTCTTAGATGAGGGAATCCAACATCAGAATGACTCTTTTTCTCTTTACCTACCTACAAGTACTTCATCGGCAGGTCCATTAGCATTTTCTGATGACCTAACATCTTTTCTAGCAATGACTTAACATCTCTTCTCTTCTAGAAATCCATTCTTAAAAGATGCCAATCTTAGCCCCTGTTAGGACACACCATTCAGCTTGTAAAAACTCAAAGTCATTGACATTTTTAGAGTACTGCAGTTCAAACAGTCTTCCCTCAGTGCCTCTGGTTGGCAAATAGGCACTTAAATGGCAGTGCCATTCTCCCCAAGAGAACCTTAGTTTACTAAGTGCAAAAGTGCTCAAGAGAGTCTCTCCATTGTTGCCAAAAGGTTCACTGGAGGCATTTGATTTCCTTCCGGTCAAGAGTCTTCCTGCCTGAGTAGCAAATCAGGAAGGAAGATGATGAGGGGGGGGGGGGGCAATTGAAGACAAGGCAGAGGGGGAAGCTGCCTTCAGAGATTGGATGTGGTGCAGAGAGAGTTAGAAATGTTTTGAAGACAGTTTTTCACAAGGAAAATGTTGAAGAGAACATTGGTAAGCTCCAGTCTCCATCCCAGCATTCATTTTTCAAAATTTTGAGACCTGGCTAGGAATCAGGAGCATATAGTAAAGATCTCAAGGGGGGCCTCGCTGTGGCTTATGTTCCCAATGACAAACAGTATCCCGGGAAGCAAAGATTTCCTTTCAGGCTGAGCTATTCCTTGTCAGTGCTGCAGTGGGTAGTTTTATTTTGAAACCACTAGTACAAGAGCATATTGCACTATTTCTCCACTTCGTCGCCTGTCTTTCTCTCCACCATTCCTCTCTTAACAGAGCATCTGTAGTTAAGCAGTTGACAGGTCACTGCTGTCCCAGGATACACTTCCTGGCCTGAGCATCTTGGCTAATGGCTGGGAAGCCTTGCATCACTCCACGTCCAACTTCGCCCACTCTAAGCCCCGCTTACACTGCCACTGAGTCCGCTCTTCTACAATGGCGTGATAACGACATACGAGATTCCGAGTTTCCTGCCTGGTTTTTATCATTACGCAAAGTACTCACAACACATGTTACGGTAGCTTTTAATAGCTTTACATACATACAGTAGCTCTGTGGATATTTTTCTCCCCCCTTTTGCAGTAAACAAGAATATTCGTATGCTGACCAGTGGGGGGGGGAGCAGTTTGTGGGAAACTGACAATGGATGAGGAGTGTAATGCTCTGTTTAGCCTTTTGTACTTTAAGAAGAAAAAAAGAATCTCACATTTTATTAAAAAGTGAAGATTGCTGTATACTATTTATTCAACTTATAATTTATGTTACTCTTCGATCTTTGTCTTTTCTCATGACAAAGCATTTATTTAATAAAGTTATGCATTCAATTAGCCTGTGTGCATGGCTTGGAAAACGTTGGAGTATTGCATGTATGCAGGGTGACTGATCTCATGGGGAAACTTTTTGTCTGCCTTTGGAAATAGCAGAATACCCAGCATTATAACAAGTGGAATGTGTGCGGATAAAGGGCTTGCACATTGCAGGCGCCCAAAGGACACAGCCCTACAATATCCCTTTCAGTGAGAACCAGGCAAGTTAGACCCTGACTGCAACTGTCCCCAAGGGATAACATTTTACTTTCTTCTTGGGAGTCAATAGCAATAGCAAATATGTTCCTATGAAGAAGAGTAGGTTTTTATGTTTTGTGTTCCGTGCACCTCAGCAT